AAACACTGGGATAATCTAGATTTTGACATCCCACATCATTTCAGCATTGTGATGCCAATTCATTGAAGCAAAACTGTCCAGTATGGCCATTCAGTAACATCAGACCAATGGTAAGGTCAGGAAATGCGGTTGTTTACATTAGCATGTTCCACCTGTGCAATGGCATGTAAGTTAATTGATATGTGAAAATGTTTGGATAATATAGCTTTGGGGGGAGGTGAGATGTAGGCGAAAAGAGCATAATTCAAGGCTGTCAGTTCACTGGTTACATTCCCTGCTCCCTACTCCTCTAGAGGCAGAAATTGCTACCTTCTTGTGTGATGAATTGTTATTTTCCGCATGTGGGATTTAGTTTTCTCCTCCTACTCCCATCATCTTTGCAAATCTGCTTGCTTCATAGCAGGGTTCTGAGGGTTAATCATTTATTTAGTGTGTAGAAAAGTACTTTGGGCACCTCAGAAGAAATATCTTATCTAGAGAATAAATAATACAACAATAACAAGCTAGTGAATTGTAGTTACTGCGCATCTCTCATCTTAAGCCCTGCCTGAACCCGACCAGTTCTTCACCCATGGGTGGGCAGGGTGAATTACTGAAGTAAAACACAAACATTATTCCCAGCACAGACAGTAAGGGCAATGGAAAACAGGTGAAGGGCTCATAAGAGTTGAGCTGAAAGGGGAAGATGAACAGAAAAGCAAGATAATCCAAAAAGTAGATTCTTAACTTTTTCATTGCTTAAGAAGACCTTTCATAGGGGTCGGGGAGGCCATTGTGAGCTTTATTTCTTTTTTATGGGTTCTGAACCTCCATCCTCAGTTCACTTTTGAATATGCACTACTGACCAGCTGAATGCTTTTTAAAAGATTAAGTGTTCTTGGGCCTCCCTGGTGGTGCAGGCGGTTGAGTGCAGTGCTGTGAAGCTGTCTGCAGCCTCTGCAGTGCCGGTTCCATCCCCTCCGGCCTCGGAGCAACCCACATAGCGAGCAGACCTCTCCTGTCTCGCCCGCTGCTCCCCTCAGCAGTGTATTTCAGTCAGTCTGCCTGTTCTGTTCTCCGTTCTGCCTCTGGTGAATCCTCTCACCCTTCCACACTTCTGGCCTGTACTCCGATTCTTGCATAAATAAAATAAACCTGGGGCCTCCCCGGTGGTGGCGCAGCAGTTGAATGCTGGGCTGTGAGACTGCCCTCAGCCTCTGCAGCGCCGGTTCGATTCCCGGCTGCCTGCGAGGGTCCCACATGGTGTGCAGACCTCTCCTGCCGCCCACAGCTCCCCTCAGCAGTGTATTTCATCAGTCTGCGTGTTCTGTTCACTGCTCTGGTGAATTCTCTCACCCTCCCGCGCTTCTGACTGAACCCAGTGCTTGTATAAATAAATAAAAAATAAATAAAATAAAATAAAATAAATCTTTAAAAAAAAAGGATTAAGTGTTCTTACCTGCTCCCCCTCCCCCTGCCATGGATTTACAATAAACATAATAAACAATCCTCAAATACGCTCTACTGGCCAAAAAAAGAGATTCTCAGTCTGCATAGGTCAACACAAGACCAACTGTTTTCTTCCCCATGACAATCATGAACATTGCTAACACCCAGTCTTTCTTCATCCTCTGAGCAGGAAATCCTCCAATGTGAGCCTATGACCATACAAAATGGATAACTCATCCATGAGGCCCAGCCACACAGGAACCACACATGAAAGTTCAGTTAGTGGTTTTAGAAGCCTCTACTCCACTAACATCCCTCCATTCTCATTCCATCCAGATTCTTCACAGTGAAGCCTGTGACTTCAACTCATATGGCAGGGAAACTGGCGCAAACCTCCTTTCTTCGAACCGCTTCTCTTGAGGAGATGCCTGTTAAGCTGCCCACAGTTAGAGAAAGTCCTTCATAAATCACAAAGGTGTTAGTTCAGTCAGTTTACTTGCTTTCTGCTTAGTTCTATTTGAGTTCATGCCCATAAGGAAAGCAGGCATTTGATGGAACAAAAAAGGCAAAGGGAGGAAGATAATATTTGGAATTAATTTTTTAAAAAATAATTAGTTTATGGGCCTCCCCAGTGGCACAGTGGGTTGAGCCCAGGGCTGTGAAGATGTCCACAGCCTCTGCAGTGTGGGTTCAATTCCCAGCTGACCAGGAAGATACCCACATGATGCGGTAGACCTCTCCTGTCTCACCCGCTGCTCCCCTCAGCAGTGTATTTCTGTCAGTCTGCCTGTTCTGCTCCCCACTCTGTCTCTGGTGAATCCTCTCACCCTCCCGTGCCTCTGGCCTGTACCCCAGCTATTGTATAAATAAAAATAAATCTTTTAAAAAATAGTTTATTTTTAATTGAGTTTGCATTGGTTTACAATACTGCATATGATTTAGAGGTATGAGACCTCCTCCTTCAGGTGTTGTTACTGCATCCTCCACCTAAATGCCCATAGTCCTTCACCATGCTCTATTGTGCTCACTCCTTACTTTCTTCTCTCCCGTGCCTTCCCTCTCCAGTAGCTGCAGTCTTATAGTCAGAATCCAGGATTTGTGGTTGGTTTGGCTTTTTCCTGACACTTTGTCTTATTTCTCTATCAGGTATTTGTCTCCCTCTGACTTACTTTGCTTAGCTTAAAGCTCTCCATTTCCATCTGTATTATTATAAATGTCACAAATTTCAGTCAAAAGCTGTTGTCCATTGTGTGAATATGCCACATCTGCCCCCTCATCTGTTTGGGAGCACTTATAATAGCTTGGTTATTGCAAATAGTGTTGCAATAAACATAGCACATATATCCCATCTAGCTGGTGTTTTATATTCTTTGGGTAGATACTTAGGAGTGGAATTGCTGGGTCACATGGTAGATCCATTTCTAATATTGTGGAAAAACTCCATACTGTTTTCCACAGGGACCAGATCAGTCTACATTTCCACCAACAGTGTCAAAGGATCCTTTTTCTCTATATCCTCTCAACACTGTTTCTGGCATTTTTTTGTTATGAGCCATTCTCACAGGTGTGCGGTATCTCATTGTGATTTTATTTTGCATTTCTCTAATGATCAGTGATGATCAGCTTGTTTTCATATGTTTGCTGGCCATCCACACAGGGTTGTTTTTTGTTTTTGTTTTTTTTTTTTTTGAGAAAGCAAATAGAAGGTTTAACTCTTTTGAATCTCTACTGATACAATTAGATCCTCACCTACTTCTAAAAAAGAATTAGAGTGTGATAAGAATTATAAGGGGAGGGGAAGCAGGGAAGAAAATATACTTGAGGGCTGGAACCTCCACTGGCCTTTCAGTTAGTTTTGAAATTATGTCGTGAGAGATGTTGACATTTCCCATTTACCAAATGGAGGATTAAACTCAAAACTCCCCACTTTTCCATCCGCAAATCAAAAAAACTCCACAAACCTACAGTGAGTGTAACCAACTCTTGTCACACATCTTAGCACCACCTATCAAGCATCTTATTTTGCAACAAGTGAGTGGAGGCTAGTGACCAGAGGGAGGGAGCAGTGGCTGATATTCTGAACTCTTGGAGGCTGAGCCTCTTTGCCCAGACAAGCGAACTAGCTGTCACCATAATCAAGCTTTCTGGCGACCAGGCTGCTCTCGCGGTGGGGTGGGGTGGCTCAAGGGGAACTGGCAAGCAGCAGCAAGGAGCACTTGAGGATTTCTAATACCACTGGGAGTTGCATAGGGATGCTCCTTGGAAGAGAGCCCGCTGGGATGAGCCTTGTGGATAGAGGAGACAGAGTACACTTAGGCTGGAAAGCAGAGCTGAAGATAAACACTTACGGCCAGACCTCTGGTATGATACGGGAACACAGACAGGGAGGAGAGGGCTGAGCTGTGTTTCCTTGTGTGGCTGGGGAGGTGATGCTGCCTGTTGCCTGGGCATCGAGAGGAAAGGAGTCTGTCCTCAGCCCCATGGAAGGCTGACTCTTGCTGGTGACTCTATTCAGCAGCGAGGACTCTCCCCACCCTCTAAGTCCCTTAGGAAGAGGAGCACAAGGATGGGACATGTGTCAATATATCTTTCAGATCTGTCATACATCATGCTTGATAGCAACATTGTCCCAGCTCAGTGCTATGTGCCTAAAAGAATGCTGGGAATGAATTCCCCTGGGCTTGGAAACCTAGCTGTTCCTCTATCCATCACCTCCCACTTTTCTACCCACCACCTCTTTCCATTCCCCTCCAGGCATCCATGAAATCCTGATCTCTGCATCACACACAGGGTTATAAACCTATGTTACATCAATGGAAAAAAAAATTATATTAAGATCATTGGGTCAGACTCTCTGCCATGATATAAAAAAAAAAAACTTAATTCTACCCCAGCCCTTTCAGATGGAAAAGAAAGCAGTTTGCTGCCAATAGATTAAGTAAATGTGTATTTGTGGAAGGGGGGTGAATTGTAACATTTGTCAGTTGAAGAAATCGATAATCCAAATATTAGCAGGCCTCATATCCTCTTAATAGCCTCATGTTCAATACTCCTTACACCAGGAAAACTTTCATTTCCTTTGGTGAGAAATCTCCATGTGCAAGGAATATAGATCCCATGCCCCAGGCAGGGGCTACAGGATTCTATAAATTAAATCATTTGCAGAGGTATGAAATAATCTGTTTAATTTCCAAATAGAAAAATATCAGTTTTTAATAGTGCTGTAAATCTTTCCTATCAAACATAGTTGCTTATTTATTCATTCAATCATTTTAAGCAAAGGATTGGCAGATAAGCAATTATAATATTTTCAGTCCAAAGTAATATTCAACTTTTTCACTCTGGCAAAGTCCAACAGTATAATGGGGTTGGAGTCCCCCGGAAAATCAGATCAGAACTTCTGGAAGCCATAAAAAGAAAAGACATATTTTGTTGTTCTCTGGACATTTCCTTGGAATCCTCAAAGCTAATTTAGTGAATGAGTTATGTAAAGTGGGTTGCACAGACGTCAAGTGTGGTTCTAATAGCATTGATCACCGTTTGCTTTCATTTTTTTGCTCATGGTTTGAAAGTCTTGTAGAGAAAGAATGGACTAGCGAATCCCTGCTCTCTGCATGTCGATTTAGAATCGTCCAAGTCTTTTCATAGATCTAGATGTCTGTCCACTTCGGTAGATGAAACATGTAAGTAAAACAATGATAATCCTTCCTATTTTACAGCTGAAGAACTAAGGTCCAGGGATGAAAGGTTGGGCGAACCAAACAAAAGACAGCTGTTACCTTTCCTAAATTATTTTGAGAATAATTCAAATGTCTTTGTATCTTCTTCCTCCTCTCCCACCACCTCCTGCTTCTTTCTTTCTCCCATTTCCCCTTATTCTTCCTCTTTGTTCCTCTCTTGCACCTTTTCTCTCCTCCTTCCTCCATACCCCCTGCCTCTCTTTCCTCCTCGTCCTACTTGCAAATAGTTAACAGACATCATTTGAAACAAACCTTATTTTTGCAAGATCTGGCCTTGGCCTCATGGCCAGCTCTGGCCCAGCTCTCTCCACCCGTCCGCTCTTTTCTCTAAGTAACACGACTCTAATCAATTTGTACATCAGTTGCTGTCGCACATTCTCCTGTGAGACGCCAACATTCTGACCACAAATTTCAAAATAGCTTCAGAAAACAATGATTAAAAAGTGGACTTTTCTACCGGAACTAATAGGCATTCCCGGGCAATTCCTTCCATATTTTGCACAGTGTATGCTGTTCATAAATAATGTCAGAAGTGGGCCTTCGTTCCTTCAGTAAGGTGGTCATTTAATGTAAGTAAATCCACATTAAATATTGAAGATCAGAAAAAAGCAGCCTCTTCAAAGAGGTCACATTTAAGTGAAGAAAAAACAATGTGTGACGAGAGGACCAGCCTGGTGCTGCGTGGCACAGAGTTAATGGCTCATAGAGAGCATATACATGTTTTTTAAAGATGTTTTATTGCTTACAAAAGGAAGTAGTCTTGAGAGACTGGCTACATAAACTGGCTCCAGCCAGCTGAGGCTGTCGGACTAGGAAGGATCCTGTTCAATTAGTGTTGTAAAATAAAATACTTTGTAAAGGAAATAAACACGATGCGAGCTAAGATTCATGCTTTCAAATATACACAAGGTTTGAATTTTTAATTAGGGCTGCTAATTACAGTCATCAGAAAGCAGAACAGAATAGATTTTACCTTACATTTAGCAGACAAGCCTTCAACCCCAGTGTATTTTTCAATTTCATTAATATTTTATGAAAATGGCCCTTGCAGCTTCAGCCTATTCTAGTCTCCTACAAAACTGCCCCACATTATGGATGCCAATGCCTTTAAGCCATGTGCATTAGTGTGATGACAAAATGCAAAACAGTGTCTTGTCAACCATTGCATCAATTGATTCTATTAGATAGTGTAAAAACAGTTGGGTGTGAGTTATAATCTCAGTGTCACTAATGATGAAGCAAGTCACTGGCTGAGAACAGCCATTAGCTATAAGCCAGAAATTAATGATTCTAATATTTTTGAACAAATTAACCTTAATGAACTGGTCTTGCAAATACTGTATTATCTACAGATAAGTCTGGTTAGTGGAACAACGCAGTTACACGTACATGTGATCAACGTATATAAATGTGTACATTAAATGAACACAAAATCTATAGGTAGGTGTTTTATATGTTTACCCATCTCTCGTGCCTGTCTGTACTGCAGATATAATATAGATGCAACTAGTCGCTCCCCCGATTGTAATGGAATTGGTAATGATTTAATATTTTATAAAATTGCCTGTAACATCGTTGAAGCATAAATAAAACATTTCCCCAAAGTTAGAGGATAACTGATTGTCAGAAAATTAAATTTTTATATTTAATATGCAAAGGACTTTCCTAAATGTGAGGTGAATCCTTTTGTAAAATAATCACTTTTCCTATTTGAGATACATATCCATAGACATGTATCTAATATCACCTCTTTTCCATATCTGTTCATCTATTATATTAGGTTTGGGGTTTTATAAATTAGGTTTTTGTAAAATAAGTTCCATCAGTGGTACTCATTGGAATGCAGTACATTTACTCTGTAAATACTTTAGAAAAGTTCATCACAGTGATCCTGAAGTACACTTTGATAGGATAACTTTGAATGGTAAAATAAAAACATAGACTGTCCGATCATCTGTGCACAAGGAAAAAATACTGTACAATACAATTTTAACCCATTCCTGAGTTCCCTATAATTATCTGTGTGCCAAACTTACCAAAATTCAGTAGCTATAAAATTTTGACAGACAACTCAAATGAAATAGAGCACACTAAGATAGTTTATTGCCAAATTCTACTATTCCCAGACAAAAAACATTGGCTGTTATTTTAACAGTGGTTCTGATTAGGCAGTCTCTTCACAATACTACTTCAATTTACTTTCTTCATCCAAAATGCTGCACTCATGTAACCACACTTTTCCTCACAAAGCGCCTCTCTCTACTTTTTTTTCCCCCTGTGTTTAGTACCTACTCAATTTTTTGGTCCCAAATCCTGGAAAACCATTCACAAATATTGCACTAAACCCAGATGGCTAATTTGAAGAAAAGGAAACAAAAGTGAGGCACTTGCCAACAACAGTTTGTTGACTTAACTTTGACTTTCTTTCCTGGGAAGGAAGAAAACAGAATTTTCAATGTGAACTGTCAGCCCCAGTTATGACAGAAGCTCACTAGTGAGAGAGCCAGACTCTCCCTTCCATTGCCAGAGAGAAGCAAAGAAACCTTCCAAACAGAATTCTTTCAAGCTTCCTCTACAACTCCACTTAAATAATTTACTTTTTATTTTTTTCTCAGACTATTCTTTTTAAAGTTGGATGACATGTGCATTGACAAGCAGGCTTTACTGCACAGGATGACTTGTGTATTTGGAAAGGAAAAAAAATCACAAAATTTCTCCAACTCTGAGAACTACTATATTTACTTTGCAGAAATACAGTTAGACTCGACTTTGTATTAAGGTAAGAAGCGCAAAATATAAATTAAAATAAGCAAAATAGCTGCTTTGGAGAAAAGTTATTTACTAATTTAAGAACCAGACCAGTGGCTGTTATACAGCCACTGTACACACTTTAATTCAATAAAGTGGTTGGCCACACAACTGTTAGATTTTGGCAGAAAGACCTTAAAAATGTTTATTATCACATAATATGTTGTCATTTAATTCATGAAAATTTAATTATAAAATTCATCCACTAAAAGTTCTGACAGTTACTGGAGAGTGTAGTAGATGAATAAAATGATGTGAGAATAATGGCTTCAGTGTAGCTGCTGTATTCTAGATCCTTGGTTTCACGTTTCAATATTTATGATGAGGCTTAGTGAATAAAATAGAAGGTGGAAAGGTAACAGGCTATTTAGATCATTCATATACATTTGGAGTATAAGTGCAATGATTGACCTGTTCTGGCTAAGCGCCTTTACATGAATATAATACAAAAGATTCTTTCCCACTGATCTTACTACAAAAGGATTAATATCACTTTCTCTCTGGCAGAACATTTTCCAGATTAGTGATTGTACTTTTTAAATAATAATATTCTTTCTGTAAAAAATTATTTTTCCCCTTCCCCTCTTGAAATATTTTTATGCAATGTCTTTTAATATAGGTCATAGAATTCTACCTGGCTCATAATTTTATAATAAACATATAGAACATACTTTATAAGATAACATATTATGAAAGATGTCTTTAAACTTCTCCTTCAGAATATCTTCCTTCTTTATGAATCTTTCAATTATACTGGGAGGTAGGGAGATAAATCCTGACATTGAGAATGTGGCTGGGCTAAAAGTGGTTGACATTAACTGCTATTAGTTGTAAGGTGTAAACCTTTGGATGGCAATGTAGAGCACAGTAGTTTATTTACTACCACACTGAAACTATATTCTGACCAAAGCAGTAGCTGCATAATTGTTCTAGTATAAATTGCTCTGAAATGTACTTTTGACTTGCATTGGAAAATGTTCTTAGTATTATTTTCAGATTACAATAAATAATGTAATAAATAATAAGCCTAGACAAGCCCATATTTTCCCCTAAATAGCAATACAGCATTTTATTTAGTGGCATATTTTCAAATTAATAACTAGGAAATATTTTTTGAATCTAGGTACAAATAATTGGTAGTTTTTTTTTTTTGGATTAGCTGATAATCCAAATATGAAACACTGTAATATTTAGGTGGTTCAACATAAGACATAAATTTAGCTGCAAATATCTAATCCTCACAGCAAACTTACACTTTATACACACAAAAAAAAAAAAACCTCAGAGGTTTATAATCTGTCTACAAAATAAACTTAGTGATTAATTTTCATATCTACTTCAACATGCACTCACTCACTCATTCATTGTTCCTAAAATCTTGTCACATGATGACCTGAGCATATATAACTGATGTCTTTAGCCACATGTTTCAAGCACCTGCATTATGACCAGTCTGAGTTGAGATGTTCTATAACTGATTGACAAACAACAGAAAAGCTAGTTTTTAATTGATTATGTTGAAAGGATAATATTTTGAATCTATTACATTAAACAAAGCATGTATTAGTTAATTTCCTGTTTCTTTTTTCTATGTGATCACTAGAAAAAGATAAAGTTACATGTCATATGTGATAAGCTGCAGGGTAGTAAGCTCTGTGACAAGCTCTGAAATGTCTAAGCTGAAAACTACAGTGACGTGGGCTTGGAGGAGCTCAGTTTAGTGCTAATACGAAAAGTCTGTAGTAAAAAATCCAATGCTATTATTTTCATGTGACTGGACAGTGAAATCAAATATCTTTTTTAAATTGCTTTTTCTGTTGAATCAGTACTCCTAATATGTAAAAGTCATTTAGTACTCATCATGTTCTATAAAACTCCCTGTTTTGTCCATTCCCTTAGTAGTGAGTTTGGGTAACTTGGCTGGTAAGTCAAGTTGACCTGTTACTCTAACCTCTTACTTCTGGGAACCTGAGTCACTATTCAGGACCTTAGTTCTTGGTGAAGCAGAGTGTACTGCCAAACAACCTGGGCTTGCAGCTGGAGTTGGCTGCCCAGCGATGGCTGCTATTGCAACTGGTCTCCAACTCCCTCACTCTGCTTTTGGTAATTGACAAATTCAGCGATATACTCAGTTGTCTGGGAATAGAGTGTTTCTCTGCTCAAACCCACTTGGACTATAGTTCTAACTTTAGCTTCATTAGCACCCTACTTTCACTATTATTAATCTGACTCTCGTCATTAATGGTAAAGTTCACCTCCCTGGAAAGGATATATCATATGAAGAGCTCTCACTCCATGAAAGCAAGCAAACTTCACTCAGGTTATAGCATGACATTTCTGGGGCGCATTATTTCTGGAAGCCATGAACAATAATTCTGCTTACCAAACTTCATAAAAGGTTTTTGTCATTTTTCTCAGAATAGTTTTTATTAAAGTCAATTTATGCTTACTCATATACAAAGCTTAATTTTAAAGAGGGCTAAAGGAATTTTTGACATCCTGACAATGACATTGTCTCTATGATAGTTCCAAAACATTTCGTCTGTAGGGAAAAAGGTGGAGCGCGTGACTTGGTAGTCATCAAGCTGAATGCAGTCTTGTTGAGACCAACAAATCCATTTTCTGTGTTTTACCCTCTGGTATTTGTCCCCCTGCTTACCACTTGATTAGGTGTTGGGGATTGATTGACAAGTATGACAAAGGCCACAGGGCCAACTCTTTGTGATGGCAATTTATGACTCTATAAACACAGCCCTTTGCCTTCAATACCTTTGAACACCCAATAATTAATCTAATGTAACTCAGATTTGCTCCTATTCAATTTATTCCCCTTTTACAGTCTGATTCAGAGCCTCCAAAGACAAGAACACTGATAGAAAACATTTTCATTGTTCCAATGGTCATTAAAATATTTATTTTCTGTAAACTTTTGATTAAGAATGTTAATATGTTTTACTATAATATATACTTGGGTCTACAGTAATTAATTGTCTCACACTTCTGACACATAACTAACTTATATATTTTGTTTTCCACAAATATAATTACTAAGAATCATTGTTATAATATTAACTAGAAGACAAAAATAATATTAAGCCCACAATTTACTCTTCCTCCCTTAGTTTATGCAATATTACATTATTTATTTGGGATAATCTAGTGAATTCAAATCTCCTTTCAGGAAATTTTATCACAAGAATAGATAGGATGGGATTTAGTTTCTCAGGATGAAATTTTTTTACCAATATGGCTGATGTCAACTGTATAAGAATTAAACATTATATCTTCATTTTTATATATTGTCCTATTATAATAAAAATGATTGATCAAGACAGGTAAAACATGGTATTAGTGGAAAGCTTTGATTAAAACATGCCAAAACTCTCTTAAGTATCTTCTATATACCAGTGGGAATAATATTTATATGACCATTGTTTTAGAAAAACAATTCTACAGTTGTTTCAATAAAATAAGGCCATTTAATCATGAGATACAAGTTCTTTTCAGACACTTGAAAAGAAAAAGAAAATGTTTCTATGTTTGTACAAAAATGAATGGTTACATCAAAGTTGCAGTTTGGCAATATTTTACCAGCTAGATAAACCTACATTTGTATACAACAGCACTTTAACAGTAAGCAGAACATAAAGGTAGCAAGGTTAGTTTGAAAATCATCATGTAATCCACCATGCTGTTTAGATGGTTAATAGCAGTAAAATTCTAATAACTTAATTATAGTTTTATTAAAACTTAAGTAGAAAATAAGTTAGTTAATTACATGAATCCATAAGCACTTAATTTTACAGTTATCATGAGCAGCATTAAGAATGAATTACTAATATTTTCTACAGTTAATACATGGTTAATTAATGATTAAAGTCTTTTACTGCTCACTCATTAATGATTTATTACAGTTACTTAAACAGTTTCCTAGATTTCAGTGCCTTAAATAGACATTTTAAGATTACGTTCCAGGTTTACTCTCTTTCTACTGTATTGGCTATTTCATTTTCTACTGCATTACTCTGATCCCCTTCCAATTATGAATATCAAATATCTTGATTATCTGGTCAGTAAGAGCTAATCTATTGGCTTGCATGACTTTGACAACCAGACTTGAATATGAAAAAAGGCACATATCTTCTTGTGTTAGTTTAGTTCTCCTCCCACTGGACATGAGTTCTTAAACTTGGCAGAAGGGACTAAGAAATGTAAAATCAAACTAATCTAACTTGTTACGCATATCAGGGGCTTCAGTACCAACAGTGCCCTCATGTTGACTGCAGGTCTAATTCAGAAGAACATGCTTTGTAAGTTTGTTGGGGGGAGACTTGCTCTCCTAGTTGCTGGTTATGGAACTTCAGCCCTTCTCTTGGTCATATGGCTAAGGTCCAGGTGGAGGTAGTCTGTGTATTGCTGGGCATTCTGTCATTGAGAAAGGGATCTCTCACCTTGCTGTTCATTTAGAGATGGCCCACACTGGAAATATAAATACTGAGATATAAAAATAAAATTTAAATTTAAAAAAAAAATAAAGGAAAGTGGGACCAAACTTGTACTTTACCTAGGAGTGAATCTGGATTTAGGAGCAAATTATTAATTCTTCCCCATATATTACACTCATTCCTTTATACCCAAACCTTAAATAAACTTTGTTAAATATAAAAAAAAATAGTGACAGAACTTACACTTGCTAGGAACTGATTCTTCATCACAAATGGGCTTGTCATTGTTTCCAGGTTTGCCTAGAGTCTCCCAGAATGCCACTCTATCTTCTGATATGTGCCTGACAACCAGAGTGAGTTTTTTTTTTTTTTTTCCCATTTTGGGAAACTACATGGAAATTGCTTCTGGGGTATGACATTGCAATCTTAATGCTTGTCTTTATATATCTATTTGTCCTTATCAGGGGATTCTGTGGCTGTTAGGAGACTGTGTTTAGTTGGTTTAGAAATGACAGTAATGCTCTGG